TCACAGCAAACATCATTCTCAATGGTGAAAAACTGAAAGCATTTCCTGTAAGATCAGGAACAAGACAAGGATGTCCACTCTTGCCACTATTACCATAGTTTTGGAAGTCCTAGTCACGGCAATCAGAGAAGAAAAAGAAATAAAAGGAATACAAGCTGGAAAAGAAGAAGTAAAACTGTCATTGTTTGTAGATGACATGATATTATACATAGAGAATCCTAAAGATGCCACCAGAAAACTACTAGAGCTAATCAGTGAATCTGGTAAAGTTGCAGGACACAAAATTAATGCACAGAAATCTCTTGCATTCCAACACACTAACAATGAAAGATCAGAGAGAGAAATCAAGGAAACAATCCAATTCACCATTGCAACAAAAAGAATAAAATACCTGGGAATAAACCTACCTAAGGAGGTAAAAGACCTGTACTCAGAAAACTATAAGATGCTGATGAAAGAAATCAAAGATGACACAGAGGGAGAGATATATCATGTCCTTGGAATGGAAGAATCAATATTGTGAAAATGACTATACTACCCAAAGCAATCTACAGATTCAATGCAAACCCTATCAAATTACCAATGGCATTTTTTACAGAACTAGAACAAAAACTCTTAAAATTTGTATGGAGACACAAAAGACCCCGAATAGCCAAAGCAATCTTGAGGGGAAAAAACGGAGCTGGAGAAATCAGACTCCCTGACTTCACACTATACTACAAAGCTACAGTAATCAAGACAATATGGTACTGGCACAAAAACAGAAATACAGATCAACAGAACAGGATTGAAAGCCCAGAGATAAACTCATGCACCTATGGTCAACTAATCTATGACAAAGGAGGCAAGGATATACAGTGGAGCAAAGACAGTCTCTTCAATAAGTGGTGCTGGGAAAACTGGACAGCTACATGTAAAAGAATGAAATTAGAACACTCCCTAACACCATATACAAAAATAAACGGATTAAAGACCTAAATGTAAGACTGGACACTAAAAAACTCTTAGAGAAAAACATAGGAAGAACACTCTTTGACATAAATCACAGCAAGATCTTTTTTGACCCACCTCCTAGAGAAATGGAAATAAAAACAAAAATAAACAAATGTGACCTAATGAAACTGAAAAACTTTTGCACAGCAAAGGAAACCATAAACAAGACGAAAAGACAGCCCTCAGAATGGGAGAAAATATTTCCAAACAAATCAACAAAGGATTAATCTCCAAAATATACAAACACCTCATGCAGCTCAATATTTTAAAAAAAAGCAACCCAATCAAAAAATGGGGAGAAGACCTAAATAGACATTTCTCCAAAGCAGACATACAGATGGCCAAGAGTCACATGAAAAGATGCTCAACATCACTAATTATTAGAGAAATGCAAATCAAAACTATAATAAGGGACTTCCCTGGTGGCACAGTGGTTAAGAATCCGACTGCCAATGCAGGGGACACAGGTTCGAGCCCTGGTCCGGGAAAATCCCACATGCTGCAGAGCAACTAAGCCCATGTGCCGCAACTGCTGAGCCTGCGCTCTAGAGCCCGCGAGCCACAACTACTGAGCCCATGTGCCACAACTACTGCAGCCCACGTGCCTAGAGCCTGTGCTCCGCAACAAAGAGAAGCCACTGCAATGAGAAGCCCACACACTGCAGCAAAGAGTAGCCCCTGCTTGCTGCAACTAGAGAAAGCCCGCATGCAGCAACCAAGACCCAAAAATAAATAAATTAAAAAAACACAAAACTATAATGAGTTATCACCTCACACTGGTTAAAATGGGCATCATCAGAAAATCTACAAACAACAAATGCTGAAGAGGGTTGGAGAAAAGGGAACACTCTTGCACTGTTGGTGGGAATATAAATTGATACAGCCACTATGGAGAACACTATGGAGGGTTTTAAAAGGCTAAAAATAAAGTTACCATATGATCCAGCAATCCCACTACTGGGCCTATACCCTGAAAAAACCATAATTCAAAAAGACACATGCACTCCAGTATTCATTGCAGCACTATTTACAATAGCCAGGTCATGGAAGCAACCTAAATGCCCATCGACAGACAAACGGAGAAAGAAGAAGTGGTACATATATACAATGGAATATTACTCAGCCATAAAAAGGAACGAAATTGGGTTATTTGTAGAGACGTGAATTGACCTAGAGACTGTCATACAGCGTGAAGTAAGTCGGAAATAGAAAAACAAATATCATATATTAACGCGTATATGTGGAATCTAGAAAAATGGTAGAGATGAACTGGTTTGCAGGGCAGAAATAGAGACACAGATGTAGAGAACAATTGTATGGACACCAAGGGGGGAAAGTGGGAGTGATGGGGTGGTGGTGGGATGAACTGCTAGATTGGGATTGACATATATACACTAATATGTATAAAATAGATAATAAGAACCTGCTGTATAAAAAAATAGATAAAATAAAATTCAAAAAAAAGAGATACTTAAGGTGCCTAGCAGTTTATCAAACTGGGTTGGGGGATAAACGTAGTGGGTTGTGCGAGCAGTTTGCTCTGGTAGCAAAAGTATTTTGTTACTGGCATTGCTTAGAATTACTGTTGCATAGCCATAGTGAAAAGCAGGCCAATTTTTAGTTGGTTTTATTATTGTTTTAAAATTCTCTACAGACAAGGAACCCCCTTATCCTATGTTACGTTTGGCAGAGTGCTCCCACCCCATCTTTGTATGCCACTGTTCAAAGAAAGTCCAAAATGACCGACTTCTATTCAAAGACAAAGCAATTCTTTAAGATCCTCCTTACTGAAGCATCTATTTTAACCAATAGCCAAAGATTTCAAAGACTATAGGAAAAAGAGCCACACACTTGTACAACAAGCAATTACTGTTATTCTTATGTAGATCTAAGATTGCAGAAGACACTTGTGTGGACTTTCATGCCCTAGCTTATTCCTTCTGTGTTAACACAAATAAAGTACACCACTTAGAGTCTATAAAATCTCACACTTCCCTTTAATTTGATAGTTTTGTCTCCACTATACCCAGCTGAATTTCTTTTGGGGTCTCCTCTTATTTAGGTAAAACTAGTAACTCTTAACAAGAAATGACCAAACCAAGTGTAAATATTTTTTTTTCTTATCTTTCTCTGGGGACTTTCCTGAGACTCAAGGCTCCCCACATACAAGGTCATGTCCAATAGTTTACCTTCCTGTCACTGAAAACACTTTCAATAACTCTTTCAATGACTTTCTTCCCTAGTATACCAGTTAGGAAGTTTAAAGTGCACATGAAATTATGTGCAGAGTTAGGTACATGGCAGGGTTTTGGGGCCAGGCCTGGAAAGACACACCTCATTTTTGCTCATTCTCGGTACCACTCATTGCTAGAACTCAGCCATGTGTCACATGCAGCAGCAGTGGAAGCTGCTAAATGTCCAGCCGGGAAGAAGGGGAAATAGACGTTAGTGGCTAATTAGTGTTTGTATTATCCCACCAGATGGTTAGAGCCAGGAAGGCAAGGCATGCTCAATCCTGTCACTGCCAAAGATCTGTGCTCGGTACAGTACCTCATACACGGTCGAGTTTTAGTCAACATTAGCCACCGGATGGGAAGTAAGCATCTTATGAACAGTAAGGAAAGAATTGGGCCTAAAATAAAATTCAAAGACTTTAACTTTAGAGGTAAGACTTAATCTGCTAAAATCCAAAAGGAGACTCACTAGACTCCATGAATGCTGATGAATTTCTAACATTTGGTTGCGAATTTCAAAAATCAAGGACAATTTACAGCAATTCACTTAAAATTGTTCAGTTTTTGTTAACCTTCTAAACAATCGGTTTATACACACACACTTATGATTATATAAGCTACTTGCATGTGTAAATGCACAGAAGAAAATTTGATTTCATGTGGTTTTCTGAGACCAAAGAGAGAACATGTAAACACTACCATGAGCAAACAGAGCGTAAATTCAGTATCTCGGTACAAGGAACTTTGGAATAAGCGGGAAAAAATATTCTGTTTTGAGTTTCCCATGAAGGACTTATTGCATGTCACCCAGAAAGCCTAGCAACACTTTATAAGCTCTCACAAATCAATCGCTGCTAGGCAGTGGCCCACACTGTGCTCCAATTTTAAGAATTGCCACCTTGCGAGAAAGGAACACCGATATAGAAGCTCTGGAGATGTGCTTAATTCTTTCAGGCACAATATGACAACAATGATGACTAATGGGCTACATTTTTAAGATCATAAGAGAACTGTAGGTTAATAAGCAAAAAATGTTAATTATCCCCAAATAATAGGCATTAGCAAACCAGGATTCTGTGGAGATGGACTGCTCCTGCACACCAAAGAAACTCATGAAATCATTCCCCCTTCTATGCTCCAAGATAAAAAATTAAGTGGCAGGTCCCTTTTATTTAGGAGTGTGCTGTTTTTTCCCTTGATAACTATCATAGGTAAGTCATACTGCATCAAGTCACTGCTTAAACAGGCTGTTTCTGAACCATTTAACCTGTTACTACAGAATGAAACATACCATCAACAGGCACCAAGACAAAGAATGAATAAATAAAAAACCAGAATCATCCTCCACTTACCTGCAGAATGTACCTGGATTTCATTCAGTGACAGTTTTAGTCGATTGTACCTTCACCTTGATTGTGACATCTAGATCACCATATTCCTAGTTGTTGGTCATGGGGCTCGTTATACTTGTAAGTGCTCTAGTTTAATACCTATAAATATGAGGAATATAATGTAAGAACGTCAGGATTGAAGTACTGCTCAGACCCATTCCCTAGCAAGTGGCTCCAATTAACAGTAAATTTTAAATCAGAGACAGTCAAGCTTTAAGGGGGTCATCAGAATCACTTGGATTGTTTACTAAAACCCAGTCTGAGTTTCTGATTTAGGAGATCTGGGGTGGAGTCTGGGAATTCGCACTTCCAACAAGTTCCCAGGTGATACTGATGTTGTCGGCCTGGGGCCACACTTTGAGAACTAAAGTATTAAACTGATAAACACCTATTTGAAGTCTCTTCATATACCTGGAAATACAGAGTAGATTTTTGCTCTTAAAGAGCCAGAGATGTCACCCAAACCACTGCACTTTCATGTTAGTGTTTGTCATATCAACATTTAAAATCTTTTGAAATCTTTTGTATAAAATAAAAATTTGAATAAAATGCTAGTATTAACAGTAATCTGTAAGAGTTCACAATATAAAATTTAAAAACAAGGGAAACTGATGATTTAATACCTTTTGAATGCACATATTTATGAGAGTAAAAATCAAGTAAATAAATTATACAAATATGAACATCAAACAGTAAGTAAAATAAATTATACAAATATGAAATTATACAAATATGAACATTAAATTATAAAATATGAACATTCTTTTTTTCCTTTTTTGCTGGAAAATAAAACTAGGGATACATTTATTTAAAATCTTTCCCTTCTTTTCTCGCATCAAAAAAATAACAAGTGACCACCCTTCCCCATATCCTAGCATCAAAAATTTCTTGGAAGTTTTACCAGAATAATAATACATCTTCCTTAGAATCTTTTTTCAGCCTCATTACCTTCAGGAAAAATCTCGGTTCCTCGTTGGCCTGGTGTCCTCAGCTTGTCCTTGGGAAGTTCAGCAATTTGCCAGTCATCCTCAGTTGAAGTAACAGGACTGCTGAGATCATCAACTTCTATCGGGTCTCTTCCATCTCCTCCTGATTCTGGCTAGTTCCCAGCAGGCAGTGGACATGTTGATCCCCAATGGTCAACAAACTCTAAACGTTGTGACTATGTGCTGTAAGGCCGCCGAGAGATAGTCTATCTGGAGTCAAATTCAGCTGTAGCTGCGTTCTGTTTGGCTGGTACAGTGCCTGGGGAGACCCGCACCGGCAAGCCCTCAGGAGAAGCCTATCCACCGCAGCGCACTTCCTGCTGACTTGCTTCTGACCGCCCGTTTACATGACTTGCCTGGTCGCACGAGATGGCTGAAATGGAAGCACCTGAACAAACGGGAAAACCATGGCTTGAATAAATTAAGCAACTTCCCTAGAGGCACCGTGGTAGCTTGTGCCACTTGCTCAGAATGACAACTCAAGGCTCAAGGTCACTTCCTTATGCTTTGCTGCGCCCCCCCACTTCTGGGGTTTCCGTGGTGTCAACAATAGAACTTAGACAAGAACTTGACCAGCATTGTTTACTGATCCTGCTGAGTCATCCTTAAGGACAGAAATATCAGTCATCAATCCATCTATCAGGTGTGCCATATAGGCCTGATCAACATGGTCCCTTCCTCAACTTGGTACCTTCCTCAACTTGGTACCTTCCTCTGGAGTGTTTTGAAACAGGTTGAGACTCCACTTTCCATTTATAGGTTTGTGGAGGAGGAAAATATTATGTAAATCAGTGCAGTGTAAAGAAATAACCTCAGCACTGGCCTTGGAGTCAGAGACAGAAAAGGTATAGGTTTTCACAAAGGCATTCTTTAAAAACAAAACAAAAAAGAAATTGGACTTAAAATGTCCATGGCACAGTCTGGGTTGGAAAACATGAAAGTCAGGGGAGATAAAGTTTCTCCTTGGCTCTTCCTACTTTGGCTGCCTGAGCTATTCTCCCGGTTCTTTTTGTCATCATTGCACAGAGAGCATTCACCTGTTCCAATTTGACCTTCTTGTTCTCTTAACTGGCAAGGCAGGGACAGAGGCAGAAGAACCAAAGGCAGTGATTCTCAAAATTAAGCATATATAGCAATCACCTGGGGAACTGTTGCAGCTGTAGCCTCTTTGACCTTAGCTTCAGAGATTTCTAGTGGGCCTGCAATCTGCATAGTTCACCAGCACCCACAGGTGTTTTTGATGTTGGTGGTACTTGAGTACACTTGCAGAAAACCCATTTGCTTTACAACAGTCCTCAAACTTTACTGTACCCACAAATCTCTGTTAAAAGTCTGCTTAAGTAGATCTGGGGTGTGGTCTGAGAATCTGTATTTCTCTTAAGCTCTTGGGGGATGCTGGTCCAGGAGCTGCTCTTTGAGTAGCAAGGGTTTAGGGCTCTGACATAGCAATGAGTCATACTGCCTGGGTTCAAAACTCAGCTCTGCACTTGACTAACTGTGGGTCTGGAAAAGTTACTTAAGCTCTCTGTGCCTCAGTTCTGTCATCCTCGAATGGACCACACTGTTGGTAGTCACTGCTTATGACTGTAGTGAGGTTTCAATGAGATAATAAATGTAAAGCTACTAGTTTATAGGGAGGCCTAACAAACGTTAGCCATTATTGTCATTTTGGGATATTATGCTTTGAGTTTTGCTTGACATATACATTCATCAGTAAGGGGACTTACAGAATTGCAAACTGGTGGCTTGTCTGGGTCACTTGAATTCCAAGCCCCTCTCTCCCAGCCCCTCTTCCTTACGTTCCCCACAAGGAGCACATCCTGAACATGCCCAGGTGGCCATTCCTTCCTCTGAAACCAGAGGTTTCTGGAGAATAGCTAATTAACTGGCAATCTTGGTTGGAGGAGAAGATAAAGAGATAGTACCAAGTTTTCGAGCCGTGCCCAGGCTAACAGATTACAACCTCCTTAAAGAGGTACCACATCTTCCTGGAAAACCAAACTCCAGAATTTTCCACTTAATGCATCTTTTGCAATCACAGGCTCCCAAGAACTCAGTTCTCTTCTGCCACCTCCAGGGGCATCTTCCCTCAGAAATCACTAAAAATGACTCAGTTCCAGGTTGGCCAGCTGAGAGAAATCCAGACAGTAGCTCATTGGCCACCACAAGTAAGGGTGGTGAACAAGGGACCAAGTTCACTTCTTGGCTCTACTTCCTTGCATAATGTTGAGACCATGTGTCTGCTTCCTTCAGCCTCAGTCTGGAGGAGAGTGACTGCGATGCTTAAACCACAGCCAAGCTGAGTCCTATCTCTTCATTTTAATTGATGATTCTTGCACCTCAGTCTGTTGAAGCATCTTCTGGGAACAATTTTAAAGCTTGTAGATACCCAGACCACACTTCTCAAGATGCTGATTCAGCAGGACTGAAATGAGCACTGATGTCTGTGTTTTTACACTGACACACCAGGTAATTCTGAAGCAGGTGGTCCATTCTCTGAGAAATAAAGCGTTTTAAGAGTAAGGAATGATGCTTAGATATGGTGCTGGCTTAACAGGAACAGCTGCCTGAGCCTTGGTTAGTGTGAAGTGATCTAATTGTGGTCTTCTGAATGACCCCACAGAAGCTACCGTTCACTGAGTGGGCAGGGACCAAGTGTTAACTATTCCTATTTATTATCCTTTACAACACCTTGTTATTACGACTCTTATCCTCACAGAGTAGAATAAAGTCATGACTCAGAGAGTTTAAGAACCTCGCCCAAAGTTTTACCATGAGTTAGTGTCCAAAGTGGACCCTATCCCATGTCTTTTGGACCCTGAGTCAGTCTTTTCTATTATGCTGAGCGTCTCACACTTTAGCATACATTAGAATCCCCTGGAGGGACTGTTAAAACAGATTGTTGGGCCCCACCCCCCGAATTTCTGATTCAGTATGTCTGGGGCGGGACCTGAGAATCTGCATTTCTATCAAGCTCCCAGCTGCTGCTGCTGATGGTGGACTTTGAGAACTACGGCACTAAAGTCAGCTGTGGGGTCTTTTTCTAGAAGTCTGAGGCTGTGTGTCTTGAGCAGTCCTAGCTACTCACCCAGGATAATTCAGAAAAGTTTTCCTTTTTCTTCCCCTGTTGCTCAGCCAATAAGTACAAGTGGCCAATAAAGTCACTGTTACGCCAGTCCTTAGGGACTTCAGGTGTTACTTCTGGGGGGGGTTGAAGTTGTAATATGTCATCCTCTCCCCTCAAGCAGAAAGAACAATGGTCCCTTTGTGGTGGGTCTTCCCTAAGAATTCTTCTGCTCTTTTATTTCTTGCTTGAAAAATGCTCAACTGTGTTTCTATTCTAACTAAGCAATGGTCAGTGAAATGCCATCCTAACCACTTCTGTCCCACCTGGTACTAAGGAAATCATCCAGTCCCTGCACCTCCTTCCTCTCTCAGTTTGGCGACGGAATTCCAACTGGGGTCTGGATAGGCCCTCCCTTTCTGTTGATGGCCATGTGGTTCTCTTCCTGGGACTTCTGGGGTTCACTCACCCCCAAGGCCTTCACCCTAACCAAGAGCACAGACGTCTTTGTAAGGAGGATATATTTCGTCCGCAGGACATTTTGTTCTTCCCCAGGAATTGCATGTACGGCTTGCTAAGCTATCCCTCCAGCAAGGTGAGGGAATACCAGGCAGGGTCAAGTAAGCAGGATGACCCTGTGAAGTTTCTAAAGGGTGCGATGGCGATTCTCTTGAGACACGTAAGTTGGCAAGCTCAGAGTCAAACGTCTCCAGCGACTCTGTCTGTGCTCTCCTGGTGCTTTGTGCACATTGTACAGATCTCTGACCCCAGCAATAAAGCCACATCTCTGAGGTCCCTTCTTTTGTAGGATTCAAACTGCAGTTTGATTTGATGGATCTCATACAGTAGTTCAGCTGGCCTTCTGGATGACTCCCCTCTGACTCAAGCGTCTATCAGCCTGGCTCCTGCTTGGGCAATGACTGGTGGAGTAGAAGACCTGGGTGCCAGATCCCCTGTGCCACTTACCAAAGCACTGTGACTTGACCACTCTGAAGTCAGCATTTCCAATTGTCAACAAAGATATTTCTACCTACTGCCCTCGATGGAATGGGTTGAGAGGATAGAATGGGATTTTTTTCCTCAAGTGCTTGGAATGTTTAGACCCTCAGAAAATATAAGTAGGGCTTCCGGGAAGACGACGGAAGAGTAAGACGCGGAGATCACCTTCCTCCCCACAGATACACCAGAAATACATCTACACGTGGAAAAACTCCTACAGAACACCTACTGAACGCTGGCAGAAGACCTCAGACCTCCCAAAAGGCAAGAAACCCCCCACGTACCTGGGTAGGGCAAAAGAAAAAACAAAGAGATAAAAGAATAGGGATGGGACCTGTACCAGTGGGAGGGAGCTGTGAAGGAGGAAATGTTTCCTCACACTAGGAAGCCCCTTCGCGGGAGGAGACTGCAGGTGGCGGAGGGGGAAAGCTTTGCAGCTGCGAAGGAGAGCTCAGCCACAGGGGTGCGGAGGGCAAAGCGGAGAGATTCCCGCACAGAGGATCGGTGCCGACCAGCACTCACCAGCCCGAGAGGCTTGTCTGCTTAACCGCCGGGGAGGGCGGGGCTGCGAGCTGAGGCTTGGGCTTCGGTCGGAGGGCAGGGAGAGGACTGGGGTTGGCAGCGTGAACACAGCCTGAACTGCTGGCCGGGAGGGACTCCGGAGAAAAGTCTGGACCTGCCGAAGAGGCAAGAGACTTTTTCTTACCGCTTTGTTTCCTGGTGCGCAAGGAGAGGGGATTAAAAGCGCTGCTTAAAGGAGCTCCAGAGACCGGCGTGAGCCGCGGCTAAAAGCGCGGACTCCAGAGATGGGCATGAAACGCTAAGGCCGCTGCTGCGGCCACCAAGAAGCCTATGTGGGAGCACAAGTCACTATCCACACCCCGCTTCCGGGGATCCTGTGCAGCCCGCCACTGCCAGGATCCCGGGATCCAGGAACAACTTCCCCGGGAAAACGCACGGCGCGCCTCAGGCTGGTGCGACGTCACGCCGGCCTCTGCCGACGCAGCCTCGCCCCGCACTCCGTGACCCTCCCTCCCCCCGGCCTGAGTGAGCCAGAGCCCCCGGATCAGCGGCTCCTTTAACCCCGTCCTGTCTGAGCGAAGAACAGACGCCCTTCAGCGACCTACATGCAGAGGCGGGGCCAAATCCAAAGCTGAGCCCCTGGGAGCTGTGAGAACAAAGAAGAGAAAGGGAAATCTCTCCCAGCAGGTTAGAAGCAGCGGATTAAAGCTCCACAATCAACTTGATGTACCTGCATCTGTGGAATACCTGACTAGACAACGAATCATCCCAAATTGAGGAGGTGGACTTTGAGAGCAAGATTT